CAGAGTGGTAGACAAGCATAGGCTTCAGTCAGAAATCCCCTGAAGCATTGGCACCAAGCAATAGAGTGAGACGGTCTTTCATGGGCTTATGCCTAGGTAAAGAGGCTTCATCTCTGGTGATGAATGTCCTTTTGGGCATTTTCTTCCAGAACAGCCCAGTTTCATCCACATTGAACACTTGCTGTGGAAGATAATTTTCTTCATCTATCAGTTCCTTGAACTCCACTATAAATTTTGCTGCACCTTCCTTATCAGCACTGGCAGCCTCACCATGCCTAACAACACTAAAAATGTCACTTCTTTTCTTAAATTTATCGAACCGGCCCTTGCTGGCCCTAAACTCTTCAAAGTCAGTTTCAGAAGAACTAGGTTGCTCTTCCTTCAAATGTTCGTATATTTCCCTGGCTCTTTCACAAATAAATTCAGTAGAAATTGAATCTCCTTCCATTTGTTTTTCTTTAATCCAAATAAGAAGTAACCTCTCTGTTTCTGCAATTATGATCTACCTTTAAACACTCTGGTAGATTTGTCTCTCACTTTCACTTCTTTAAATTTTTCTTTCTGCGCAAGAATTGTCAACACAGTTGATGCCGACATGCCATACTCTTTACTTAGTACATTGGTTCTAATGCCTTCTTCATGTTTCTTAATAATTTCCTGTTTCACTTGAATTGAAATTGCCTTTCTAGATTTCTTTGGACCCATGCTGGATTCAATACAGTAATTTCACCACTAAAATTTTAAGTTCATGAGCTGTAATTAAAGATTATTTTATTTAAATCAACACTGCACTGCGCTATATATTATCAATATGTTAAATAAATTTCAGAATGACCAATAATTGTAATGTACAAACGTAAAATACTGTGTGCTCAAGAGACCCACAAGCAAGATGTTTCCTCCACTGTACAGAGAGTTAAACAAACGCTTTGGTGGGTGAGTGAAGTGGCTGAAGGGCGCACCAAAAAATAGTCCCCTGTTCTGCATATATTATCAATTATGTTAAATAAATGTTAAAATGACTAATAATTTTAATATAAAACTTGCAAAAATATTAAAAAGCACAACCTTCTTGATATTTACTCCAATGGAAACGAATGTACCGGTAAGCCTAGGACCGATTACTGTATTGGCGGACTAGCCTATCAGCTGATGCGCAAGCCAAAACATGTTGTCATAAGGATTTTGTTTATCGAATTTTGTTTGTTAACCGAATTGAAGATTCTTATGGAAGGTAATTCGTTAACCGAAATTTTGTTAACCGAACCGTTCGTTAACCGAGGGACCACTGTACAGGTATCTTAATAAAATTACTGAGTAATGCGAGTCTTTCATCTGTTACGAGATGTGAATACAGCTGCTCCCCGACTTATGACGGGGTTAGGGACCCAAATCCAGGTCGTAGGTCGAAATGGTCGTAAGTTGAAAATGCTTAAATAATACATAGAAAATCTAAAATGGGTGTCTCATTTTCTTCCTAGCACCACAAAACTCTCACTTTTAAGCTTGTCAGCTATTTTAAAGTGAATTACAAACAAAAATTTTGTCAGTGCACAGCGCAATCACTGACGTTGGGACTCGAAAATACGTAATTTGACAAAATTTTGGTACGACTGAGGCGGTAGTATGTCCGGGTGGTCGTAAGTCGAGTAGGTCGTAAGTCGGGGAGGAGCTGTATTTGTTTTCAAGTGATGCTGCATTTGTACAGTACAGTAAAGCCTCCAATAACAACGGTTCGACCAACAACTTTTCATACCTGTATTTAAAACCCTAGTTAATTTTGGACTCAATTCAACTTACGTCCTTATTTCATTCGTATTTACGACCTAAATATAATAAAAATAAAATAAAATTAAATTTTCATATAAATAATAACTAAATCCCGATATGTGTTATTAAAAAATAAAAAAAATAAAAAATTACTGACAAAAAAAATTAAGAGCACGTTGCGCAAAGAAGCTGCCTTGCTAATGAGTGGTAAGCAACAGTCAGAGCTTGGCGGGCCTTTTGTTTTCATGCATCTAGAACAGGGAGAAAAACTTTCTCAAGCATTTTTGCATCCCTATTCAACATGAGCAAGAAAGCAAGTGATGGTAGTGCTAGTTCAAAAGCTACCCTAATAGAAAGTTTTTAAGCTTAGCCGAGAAACTAGATGTGTAAAACGATATGAAAAAGGTGAGAGGTCTGTGGATATTATATGGAGCAAGCAAGGAACGTATTTTCTGAAGTGGATCCATTAACTGAACAAAACATTAAAATTTTAATAAATGCAAATGACCTCTACATAAAGATGTATAATGAGAAAAGAAAGCAGCTGTGTAAGGTTCTTTCGACAGCTTTATTATTTGAAGGACTAAACCATCAACTTCAGCTACACCATCAAATTCAGCATCATAAGCAGCTTCAACATTAACTTCAGGTTCAGTAACAGTTTCAGCAGCAGCTTTATGGAAAGCTATAGCTTCAGCCAGAGTTGAACCTACAGCTTCAGCCAGAGTTGAAGCTGATGACTTCGTCATCTGAGTAAAAACTCGCACAATATTCATTAGCTGTCCTTATGTTTTAGACTTTACCACCATTGGTGAGTAAAATTTTTGTTTTACATTCATAACTATTATTTAAAACATATATGAACAGTAAATAAGTGTTGCTTTCATATTCATATGTAGAGAAATGACGATATGTTTTCACATGTACGCACTTACTGTTCATACGTTGGCGTTCCCAAGCGTCTCGCCTTATTTCTTAACCATTAGTGGTTAGCTACTTCTAGTGTTCCATTTATTAACATTAAATAACATTACTTAAAATATACAAACAGGTATTCAATTTTTTAAATTAAGTTCACTACAGCTACAACCAGGGTCTTATTTTCTTCAGTTTCTTATGTAGAACCATCGTCACTCATGAAAACAATGCCGTCTTTTTTCCTCTTGTGTGTTTTAATATTCTATGTATTATTAATGAATTGTATTGTTCATTTCGCATATATAAATATGCATTCAATCAAATACATATTCTGTAATAAACAATAATGATTCTTTTGTACATAATCCTAAAAAGATAAATGACGCGGTAGCCTTAAATGCACACGTACGTATATGTTGGCGTTCCCAATCCATCTCTCTTTTTTTTTCTTTGCCATTAGTGGTTAGCTACTTCTATTGTTCCATTAAATAACGTTACTTAAAACATATACAGGGTACAGTATATAATTTTGTTTTCATTAATTTTACTACAGCTACAACCAGGGTCTTATTTTCTCGTGTAGAACTATCGTCCCGAACTCCCGGCTGTGAACACAAACGAAAACAATGACTCCCATCTCCTCTTGTGTGACCATATTAATATTCATTTATATTGTATAAGGTGCATTCAGAAATATTATTTAAAGAATATAGTTTGCAATTTTCATTAATTGTATTGTTTTGGGGGGAAAAGAGGGTAAAAAGCCACACAAAAAATATGAAAAGATCACACTTGGGAACGCATCTCATTATTATTGCTTTATTTTAATGGTAATTAATGATTCGCGATAAGACGATTCACCTTACACTGATATATTAGAGGACACATTACCGTCGTTATTCGAGGCTTTACCGTAATTGTTTTCTGTTCTGTATTGTTGGACCAACTAATAATACAGTAAATGTTTAATCTATCTTTTTTAACACTTTAGCTTTCTTTCCACAGGATTTACCATGGTCACAGTGTGGTTATCATGAGGCCTACTGTACTGTATAAGAGTTTCTGACAGCTGCAACACATACTATGACACTGAAATCAAATTCGGAAGTAACGAAGGACTGAGAAAAATCCATATAAAATATGAGAAGATGAACAAGCGACCAGCAAGAAGTAACCAATACCAAGTACTGTACCTCTAGGAACAGAGTACCACTGCCTGCACAACTAGCTAGGTGTTGAGCAGCTTTTTCCGTTAGGTGAATCTGGATACACATCTGGATTTAATGGTCATCTCAAGGACCAGTGAGACTTTAGGCCAGTAAACACCCTCTCAGGTTCATGTGCTTTGATATGTTTATAAATGATACATAAATAAATACAGAGGGAATCAAGGTAATTTATTCCTTTCCTTGGTCATACGACTGTGGTTAGTGCCTCAAGCCTTCATTTCTGACCCATAAGTTTTCATGATTAAATGTAAGAGCTGAATCAGTTCAGGGATGGCAAGAGTCACATGTCAAGTAAATATTCAATTGGGGGATTATTTCTTATGTAGAAGTTGGAGTATTATGCCTTTGCAAGGACCAACTGTAAGATGGCTGGATATATGGACCTCTTTGAGGAGGGAATACCATAGAACACAGACAATATACAGTATCAGTAAGAATAAATAATGACAATAAGGGAAGGGAAAATGTGCGTGAGTGAAGGAAGCTTACATTAAGAGGAAGGTGGCATGAAAATTCATATTTCCTTCCTTGAAAAAGATGGCTTAGAATATAAGTTTTATTCGCCATTTAGGTAAGCTGTTTACATGTAAAATTATCAATAACCTAGGTATTGATCTCTCAAAAGAAGAAAGCAAATTAAAGACATTTTAAAAATAAAGCAGGAATTATTCTGGTGTGGCAAAAGATTACTTTTCACTTAATAATAAGATTTATGTGTTTGTTCTATTAATACAATATTCAGTGGTACATTATTGTTAGGTAGAACTATGAATGGTGTTTTGCTTCCCCAACTCTTAAAACTAGTTAATAAAGATATTTCCATGACTCTGAGATATACAGTGCAATATATAAACTATATACTGTACACATTTGTGAGCAAAATGCCAACAACACCTTCAATCCATGGAGTTTAGGTTGGAACAAATTCACTTGAGATAAGGGATTGCTTTTTGTATTTAAGGAAACCAAAGATGGTATTTTGGCTTTCTTAACCTAAGCTTTAGCCCTCAGTTCATATTTACTCACCCACGTGTTTAAAATATTGCCGATTAATTATTTTTAAGAAACAATGTATCCACTCACCTTTGGTAAGAGGAACATCTAAATCTTCCTGGCTGACAGTAGTATGCTCACTGGTAGTGTGAGGCCTCTGATCACTCATCTGTGAGTCTGTTGTTAAGAAATCTGAGGTTTCAGAGTTGAGTGTGTTTGATGTATCAGTGTCTTCAAGACCAATTTCACCAAACATTCTCACAATGACACTGGCCACACCCTGCTTTAGGCGACACTCCTCCTCATTGGTTGAAGGTACTCCAATGAACTGAATGTAATCTTGCAATTTGTTGTAGTCCTGCACCTTCTTTAAGGATCCATTATCAAGGAGTACTTGAATCCGTTCTTTAAGTTTGACAGAGAGAGCTTGGAGAGCATTGTTTGATGACTGAAGTGATACCTGACTCTCCAGTACAGATTCTGCATCTTGTGGTGAGCCTCTCTGTGCTGCCAATTGTAGAGAACTTGAACAACTATTACTGTCATTGTTGTCTCTCCACCTACTGTGGTCTACACTCTCCCCTCCAGACCTACTACACTTTTTGGCAATGTTCTCATGGTTTTTAGCATTTTCACTGTTTTTTCGGGCCTTAAGGTTAACTGGTTCTTCATCAGAAAACTGATGAGAGGTGTAACTGTCAACATCAGTGTCTTTCATGTCTGAAGGTGTTTCCATGTCAGAGCTATCATGTGATTTTGAGCTGACATCATTTCCACTGGATGTCCAAGTTCTTCCAGGGAAATGTGCATGATTTTCTCGGTCATATGGTAAGGATGACTGTGAGCTATGCCTAGCATCTTCATTCAAAAACTTCTGATTATCTTTCTTCTCTCTGTCTTGTTGGTTCAGCATTTCTCCTCCAAGATTGGTGCTGGAGCTTGCAGAAACTCCAGCCAGAGGAATTGGTGACATGCTCTGAACTAAAGTGCTGGTGCTTGTGGAAATATTAGGAATACTGGAGGCTGCTGGAAAATGCTCTGACTTGTTATTTTGATACATTGTGGTTGCGACTGATGAGGCAGTGCCTGCAGCAACGCCCATGCTAGACTCTGCATTAACATTACTTTCAGACATACCTTGAAGGAGAGAGAGGGACTGCTGACTGCTACTTCTCCTGTATTGGGGAACCTTCAAAGATGTTGTGGCAAGTTCAACCAGACTGCTTGATTTGCCTTCATTGTGAAGTTCTTGCATGACTTCTCTAAGTCTTTTATTAGGTATCTGGTGCCCTTTACTCATCCTCTTTGACGGTGAATCAATATCCTTGGTGGTGGTAAGTGCTGAACGCCTTCGCAGTTTCCGTCTCGGGCTTTGTGCTGGACTTGATAATTTACTACCAAAGTCTTCATCACTTGAGGACAAGTTCCCCATGTCTCGTGCTTGGTGAACTCGAAGAGAGCGAGAGGGTGATGGAGTAACTCCTTCTGTAACTGTCTGTCTGCTTGTGCTGGAGTTATTTCCTCCCTTTGTGCCTAAGGACTTACCATTCTTTTTTGAGATCTTTTGTTTTTCCTTTACTTGTGTAGTTCCCTCAGGTTCAGTTCGCAGCACAGATGCATAATTTCCAATGGCTATCCTCTCAAGGGTACTCAAAGATGTTACTAAATGCTCCTGAGTGCTTCCTGCCAAGTTTCCTGAATATCCAACATCAGCACCTGAGTCCCACTCCATCTTCCTGCTAGAAGCTGCACTAGAAACTGATAAGACCGATGGAGAAGTGACACGTTCAGAGGAATCTGGATGATTGGTTGATTCTACAGATATCATGGATGCTAATGATACTTCTTGCTCACTAACAGGAGTGATAGGTGGATATAAAGGTGGCTGACTGAGGAATTGATCACGGCCAACATGAACTGGTGAATCAATGCCTGGCTGTTGCTCAAGAGAAGCTTTCACATCCTGCATTCTATCTCTGACAGTGTTCTGAAACTGTCTAAACTTTCCCCGAGGGCTGATGAGTCCCCCTACTACAAAAGCTGGCTTGGGACATGGCTGTAATGTTGAACAATCTGACACTAGTGAGGGTGATAATAAAGGAGTATCTATTGTATCATCTGTTTCACACCCTTGAATTTCACCCCGACTCATATCCAGGACAGTGTTTACACTGTCTGTGTTCTCTGACTGACTACCAAGGGAACCAGGTTGAGCCTCTGGTGTAGAGTAGGGATCTGCTGTTGTTTTTGTTGTTATCCTTTTCTGATTTTCGTTTTCTGATTCTTCACCATCAGTTGACCCTAAATCTTTACGTGAGGCCTGGACCAGCAGTTCTTCACTCTGTCCCACAACTGGAGGTCTAATGCTATTCTTTAATTTTTTATTTATTGATCTACTTCCTGCTGTAACTGTTAGATCAATATCAGCATCTGGTGTGCTCAACCCGGCAGGTGAATTACGTTCCATATCTTGTAGTCCACTCGGGGTCACATTACCAAGATACACTTGAATTGAGGGAGTGCCACTATCAGCTCCTTCTACAGCATCACGAAATGGAGCCAGAGCTTCAGTACTACCCTCCCCGCCATCAGCCCACTCCAGAGGTTCAGTATCAGAGCCACTGCCATAATAAGCATGAACACCACCAGGCACCATGAAGCCTTCATCTCCACCTGGTGAGAAAATCAACTCACTTTTTGAAGTTACGGGAAAATTTGTGTCCAATTTGAGTGGTTGTCTAAATGCCCTAGAAAAAGCTCCAGTTCCTGCCACAGGAGGGCAGTCAGAGCCTGGTGTCTCTCCCCTCTGGCCAGAACACTCTAAAACCCCACTTGCCGGCACTAATTCATTCCTTCTTCCTACAGTCTCTCCAGACTGAGGTACGCTGCCACCAGTATCTCTATTTCCTTCAGGGAGTCTGTCAACCTCATTTGTAGTTGACATCTCTCCATACAAAGTTGGATTTCTATCTAAAACAATGTTGTTCCCTGCAGCAGAAGAATCCTGAGAGGAGACACCTTCAATTTCTTCTCTCACCCCAAGAGAAAAAGTACCTCGACACTGCTCCATGCTGCGCTCCTGATTTGAGTGAAATTCTTGTGTGGTTGTCAGTTCTGGAACTAAGGCAATCCATGTTTCACTGTCTGTATCATCCCATATATTTTGATCAGTGTCACTGGATGTACGAGTGACTTCTTTATCTCGCTCTGGAAGACGGGATGGGCTGAGGTATATGTCAGGCAGACCATCTTGTTCATCCTTCTCTCTTTCCATTCTTCTGAAAGACATCATAAAATTATAAATCACAAAATTTTTTTTTAATTCCCAAACAAATGTAGGAAGCTTATGTAACAGTCTGTCATATGTATGTTGACAATCAAAACAAGAAAATATTGGGCTGTATAAGAATCAGATAATCCAAAATACAAAACAAAATCCTGAAATAGGACTACTTTTATGGTTCCAACATGTATACCCCTGTACTGCACAATTAATGAAACACCATCGGAGTGGTAGACTGTACAGGCAGTAACTAATTTACAACGATTTTATGAAAGACCAAAGTTATGAAGGAAAAAAATCCCAAATTTTATTTATGAATAAAAATTGTGATGCCACATATTTTTTTTTGTGGTCATTTTAGTAAATTAGTATCGTACAGTAATAATGAAAATGCAGTGAGATCCCCGTTAGCTGGAACAATTGATACAGAACACTTCCGGAATGAGAGATTTCCGGGTAACAAGACGACTTTCTCAAAGCCGGAAAAATATCCCTCATCCCCGGAATTTTCCGGGTCACGGAAAAATTATCTCGTTAGTTACAGAAATTGCCCATTACATCACCTCTCGATCCCGGAAAAATATCCCTCATCCCCGGAATTTTCCGGGTAATGGAAAATTTTTCTCGGAATTTCCAGAAAATGCGCCTGATTTTCATCTCTCAAACCCGGAAAAAACTCTTCCATCCACAGAATTTTCCGGGTATCAGGATTTTTTTCTCAGGATTTTCCGTTAAAGTGCCCCTCGGAAAATTGTTCCCAAAGCTGGAATTTTTTGGAAAATTCGGGCTTTGGGAACGAGTTTCCAAGAAAATTTCAATTCCGGCTATTGGAGAGTTCCGGATTTGAGGGATTCCGGCTAAGGGAGATATTACTGTATTTTAAAATAATTTTTTTTCCCACCAGTATGCTTAGTACAGTACTTATTTCATGAGCACATTAACAGTAATACAGTAAACCTCTAATGCTCACAATGTTATCAAGTCTGCATATAAGCTTTTAATGTGGCATCATTCTACCACAAGACTTAGGTCCCCACACTCAAGCAGACTCGTCACCACCTGTACTGTACTGTACAGTCACTCAGCCAATTGCCTGATTGTTTAATTGCTCAACATGTATGTTCATGTAATGTGTGAAAAATTAAATACCAAACAGTACTAGAATATTATTCTGTATTCTACAATTTCATATGCAACTTATGTACAATAAAGGTTGAAAGAAAAAATGTGGAACTTGTAAGTGAACAAAAATTTAGAGGTGTGGATATTGCCAGCAACGCACGAGAGAACGTGAGTGCAGCATCAGCTGACTGACGTAGTGTTCATGCCGCCATGTAAACAAATCAGCGGCAACTTTGGATGATGCAATAACTCGTCAGGGGTCAAGTGTGGGATCTTTTTGTTTGGTACAGATTGTATCTGCAATAATAGAATGGGTGTGAATAGTAATCTTTCCATTAGCCAGAATCTTAGAACCAGGAACCCTCCAATAGCCAGAATGAATTTTGAGCTTTCAGGAAAATTATGGGAAAACTCTGTCCATTACCAAGCATAGGAACAAGTGTCCGAGGTTGAAATTGTGCACATTTTCTGGAAAATTCCAAGAAAATCTCTCCATTCCGGGCATGGGAACAAATTTTCCGGGAGTTCCGAGATATTGCATCATGCATTGATATATCCCCACGTACCTGGCATGTGGGTGGACTAGCTGCTTGGGCAACTTAGGCCATAGGCTGGCGTGCTTAGCTCATAATCTGCTGCCACTGTACAAGGTTTTTCCCTCTCTCACTGTTGTTCTTGCATACATATTGTGTTGTACAGTACAGGGATACTGTTCTTTACTCTACCAAGACACAATCAACCAAGAATACAGGGTACAGTGTTAAGATGCAAAAAGTGATCACAGTTACATATACAGTACTGCACTGTACATAGCAGAGTGGACAGTGTATGCCTACTGGAGGCTAAAGTGTACAGGTGTACAATATGTATGGTATAGAATGCATGTACAATCCCTCCTTTGTGGTCAGAGAGGAGAGTGACAGTTAGCAACACCTGCTACAGTAGATGGTACAGGACAAAGGCAGGCCATTCTGTATCATCATACTGTATAACCATTTGGCCTGCCTGCATAACAAGCTCAAGATGACAGCATCTACTGCTGAGTACAGTATAGGGTACACAGTAGTAAATATTGTTTATTTACAGTATACTGTACATGTACAGTGGTATTTGCATAAATAAATGCAGCACTTTGTCTGTCCAGGCTTGGTTTTCAAAAGGTTTGTTTGGTGTTCTTTTCAGTATTTTACCCCACATTTTTCTACTTCAAAGCCCTATTATACAACCAGACTTGGTTTGGGTTATTTGGTGTTTTATGGTGTAGTTTTACTCAAACCTGACCGCCATTTTTGTGCAAATTAGCTGTTGGTTACAAATGAAAATGTCCAAAAAATAAAAAATAAAAAAATGCTAATTTGCACAAGATATGAAGGTCAGATTTAAGTAAATCGCAATATAATACACCCCAAAAAATAACTATTTTTGTATAAAAACTGGAGGACAGCCAATGGACAAATATATAACAACAATTTTGAGTTTTGATAGATATCAAATTTCTTTCGAGTAGAATTTTGGATTCTAAGTGAACTATATATTCATCTACTTATTGTTCTTCCTCAAGAAGGAGGAATGATAGCGATATTGTTTTTCAATGGCTTTCTTATATTGTCATGTTCGGTATCATATCACAAGTCATCTGTGCTTGTGGAAGATGCAGACTGTCTCTAAGAGTTCATTAGTCAACATGGACTAGTTGGCAGGATGTGCAAGTATTCAGAATGCATCAGAGAACTGACAGTGAAGAAGAAATATGTTTCAGTGCAACAACCTATCGTACTCTCACGTCCACAAAAAAACAAAAATTACATCATGCCACTTCAAGAAGTTGCTTTCATTGGTACCAGATATCAAAGTAAGTTGTTTCTGCTTGATATGCTTGGGGTCCACCCCAAGCTAGGAAGTTAGGTGAGGTTGAGTAGGTTTCTTTGGTTAGGTTAGGTTAAGTTTGTTTAGGTCAGGTTCTCAGCATTCTTGTTTCCATTTTGTGTTCAGTATCATGGAAATATTATCTCCAGAAATTTTGGTTCAATTCCATAAGTTATTTTGGTTAATGTGTAGATTAATGCTGCCAACGATTCTAGCAAGAACACACTGCTTTTCCACCATAACTTTTGTTGTTAATTGCTAGTGACAGTGTTCTCTTTTGGGGAAGTGTTTCTTTTTAATAATTTATACGTACTATAATACCGCATGCACGTTCAAAAAGAACCGTGAAGCTCCCCCCCCCCGCTAGGGGGTTGGGTTGGGTTACATTAGGTTAGGTTACATTAAGTTAGGTTAAAGAAGGATAAGTTAAATACCGACTACATTACATATCCACTAGGGGGTAGGTAAGGGTAGTGCTTCTTTTGTGTACATGAAAGCAACAAAAACATTTGTTTTCTTGCATAAATCTTGCTGTTTTATTTACTGCAGGATGTTAATTTCTCCGGAAAAGCTGAAAACTAATTTTTGACCATGATTAGAAAACATTAGTGTTTGTTTTTCCCCAGTAAAAAAACTATCTCCAATAAAAAAAAAGCAGCAAAATTCAAGCAGGGAAAAAATGTGGTAAGCATTTACTTAAGTCCTGCGAGCAATTTTGTCAGCAAAAATATTTTTTTCTGCATGAATTTTGCTGCTTTTTTTTTATTGGAGATAGTTTTTTTTACTGGGGAAAAACAAACACTAATGTTTTCCTTATTTAACTTAACCTAACCCTCGACCCCCTCCCTCCCCCCCCACAAAGTGGTTATATAATGCTGTCAGTATTTAACTTATCCTTATTTAACCTAACTTAACGTATTCCCCTAGTGGGTAAACGCTATTTTTTCAGAGTTGGGTCATGTATTATATAACATGGTAATGCGATTCAGACGACCTGCACACTACCCCTCCCATGGCTCGCTGATGGCATTATGGTATAAATTATAAAAAAGAAACACTTCCCCAAAGGAGAACACTGTCACTAGCAATTAACAACAAAGTTATGGTGGAAAAGCAGTGTGTTCTTGCTAGAATCGTTGGCAGCATTAATCTACACATTAACCAAAAATGTTTTTGCTGGCGAAATCGCTCACAGCACTAAAGTAAACGTTTGCTGTTATTTCAGGTGCTAACTGTTTCCTCCACTTCTACAAAGGAATCTTTACAGTGACAACTTCACTCAGTGAGTTAGTAACTCTTTGATAAACATTCAGTAACCCAAGAAACATTTACCTCAAAACAGTTACTGTTAAGGTGTGACCACAACACAGACCTTAACTGGGACACTTCACTAACACTTGTGACCTAATTAAATAGTGTACACGTCCACCCACAGTGTTATTTCCTCCAACTAACAACACTTATAATGATGTTAATAACTGTGGTCCAAACTACTGTTGTTGGTTTGTGTACACACAATATGAACCTAACACAGACGGGAAGCTTTAGCTGTTGTGTTCCTCAACTACACAGACCAAATAAATCAAATATAGTTGGCATATATTTTATATCTTCCTTATCACATACTTATGAGGAACAACTTTGATATAAGACTTCAAATTAAGATGCGTTTCCCCCCCAAAAAAAGAGGAAAACATGAAGGAACTCTACGTCACTTCACTGGTTGTCGGACTTCATATAAAGCCCCCAAACCCCTACAGTAATAAGAACACAGATATTTTGGCTACATTAATACACTTAGGATTATTTTGTGGTTTCATTTCTCTAGAATATGAGTGATTCCCTAAGAAAACAAAAGGGGGGTGGTTAAGGAGGTGTACAGCCATCTATGTCTCAGGTCCTCACTAACGGGAACTGAACAGAGATATTACAGTAAAATCCTCACGTTAATTCATATTGGCTAGGTAACAGTTGATCGTTAAATCTAAAACATTTATAAACGATGAAGCTACAGCAAGAGAAGAGAGTGCAGATTGTCTATAAAGTATTACTAACCAAAGAATGTTAATAGTTTATTGAAGCAGAAGACTGCATAATGCTTCTTCTTTTTATCAACAACTTATAATTTATATTTTTTATATTTACTAATACTAATTAGTAATCAAGCCTAAGCAAAGGAACCTAGTTGCATCTGATGGGTTTGTTGGCTGTGCTTGATCAAATTGCCTATAACAGTCGTTATTAATTACAATTGCTGTTGTCATGATGTTCCTAGAAATGCATATTATAGCTTTTAGCTTTTATGTTATTTATTTTTTCTTAAAACAAGTATGTTACGTGATCAATGCAGGGTATTTATATATGTTATATATAAATCTAAATTTAAAGGAATATAAAAGTAATAAGTAAAATTTAAATTGAGTGATGTTAGAGTGTAAAGATAAGAGAATGACACCTAGTACTGGGGTGAGTCAAGGCTGCCACCACCTCCACCCCAGCTGACAGGACGTGTACGGTCGGCCTCCTGAGGTATGTACTGTACACATAAAACTTTCCAATAATTCAGACCTTGTGTGACATACCGAGTAACTTACACACGTGAAGGAAGATGCTGCTGGTGAAATAAACGCTGGAACAACTGTAAATTACGGGTTGTTAGAGAAGTGATTGGTGAACGGTAGTGTCACCATGAGAGTAACAGTTCAGGGGCGGTGGTTCCTGGCTGTTAATTACACCCCAAGGTGGCCTTTGGGGGGGGGGGTTTAATTACTGTGTTCAGCCCGTGTATCTGTGCTGTCGTGAGTCGTGAATATAAGCCGGATGAGTTTTTCATAGGTTAAGTAAAAGGAGTCCATTTTTCTTGTAGCTCCGTTCACTTGTAGTAAGTTAAAAATATATTGTTCTAGTGTGTTTGTGTGAGCTGAGGCGAGTATGACCTTCCTTTTGGGCGGAAATTAGCCGGTTTTTTTTTAGCGATTTTTTTCGTTTGACGTTTCCAAGAAAAAAAGTACCTAAGCGACTAAGAAATACACAATAAAACACTAGAAAAAACAATAACCTAACCTAACTTAACTTAACTGACTATCACCATATGATGGAATCACCTATTTCTTACCTTATTGGCCTGGTTCTTGTTCGTCGTTGCATTATGGGATTCTTACACAACGCCACATATGTTGGTCTTTGTGATATTTACATTCAGTCTTGCTCTTAGTACACTTTACTGAGGTTGGAAGACCACCATGCGATCGAAAAATGCTATAGTTTCTTCGTTTTTTTTTTCCAAAAACTCGCATTCAGCTCCATATACTTTAAGTGACACCCATCGCAGACTTCCATGGTCGGAACTGAACTTGAATTTCAAAATATAAGAGACCAAAAAGAATACTCGAATTTGATTGGGTAAAAAAAAACGCGAATTAAACCCAAAAACATTTTAATTGGTTTCAAAATAAAAAAGGCTTTTGATTGGCCGCGTGACGTGTACAGCAACGCATGCGCTGGATGATTTATGAAGGAGACGCAGGAGACAGGCAGTGTTGGAGGAGAGGCAGACGATAATGGTGCGATGTTAATGGAAGAAAATAAATTTTTTTGGAAGAGCTATCTCCGTTATTATGCATTGCCGCCGGTAATGTAGTAGATGAAAATTATCTTATAATTAGACGTCTTATTCGAATATGATAATAGATTAGTGGTAGGAATGAACGGAGCTACAAGAAAATAATACCTAGAAGGATCTCTATGGAAATTGGCTTTTAATAATTTTTTTGAGCTAGTCAACTTAATGTTTCTACAGACAACATACCTGCACTGTCAAAGTAAATGTTGATGTATTGTGAACTTGTATAGCAGTTTTGCTAAAGTTTCTCCAAGCACTGGGTTTGCTACTTTACTTTAGGCAGTGGATATTTTGCCGTGACCGGCGATGTTCCTACTAACGCTATTTTACCGTGAGTGCACTCCGTTCTGATCGGCTAGTCGTCCATTACCGGCAAACAAGGGTCCGACTAATTACCCAAATGTACCCAAATGTAGCTGCAATGAAGTCAAATAATGGTCCTACAAGAATAAATCGGACTGCCAATCACTTCTCGACTGGTATTTGGTGTTACGAAGTCACAAAAAATTGGTAAACTTAATTTAATCAGAGTTAATAGATCGAGTGCATGTACCTAACCTAACCTAACCTAACACAACTGAGATTAAATTAAGTTTACCATTTTTTTGTGACTTTATGACACCAAATAATAATCGAGAAGTGATTCACAGCCTGATTTACGCTTGTAGGACCATCATTTGACTTCATTGCGACTACATTTGGGTAATTACTTGCTCCCTCGGTACATGCACGCGATCTATTAACAAAGATTAAAGTAAGTTTTCCAATTTTTTTTTACTTTGTGACACCAACTACTAGTCGAGAAGTGATTGGCAGTCCGATTTATTCATGTAGGACCATTATTTGACTTCATTGCGGCTACATTTGGGTAATTAGTCGGACCGGGCAAACAATGCGAGAACTGTGTTTGACTGACTTTGGCGGCATTTGGCATTTATTTGGGTAAAATTATCGTTTCTGTCATCTGCCTGTTTGGAAGTTGTAATTATGTTTTTCTGATGGTGTTTGATGTGTTTTGAGCAAATCAGACCTTCATTTCTACTGCAAATCGATTTATTTTTTTTATCTACCCCCCCCCTGTCCCCTCCTCTTCTCCTTTTCCAACAATAATGGAGGACCCTAATGGCAACCAAGGGGTGCAGGTGGGGGAAAATCACAATAGTAATTTGCAGTAGGTCAGAATCATCCAAAACCTAACCTATCAACCTGTGTGCTTCCCTTAATTAGACCGAAGACTCTGAGTTGGGGTCATCGGGGTCCTCCTCGTCATCATCCACAGGTTAAACTGGCCGCTGTTTCTCCTACTGCGGGGAGAGACCATGCTGACAGTGACGACTCCTTCCTTCAGGCTGTTATAGGCTGTCTGCTTGTCACTCAACAGTTGACCGTGGCCGTATATACTTTATTAGTGGAATCAGTGTGGCAGAATTGCGTTTACAGCCAAAAGATTCTACGAGACGGACGACGAAAACTTCTTGGAGATTCTCTCATTGCCTCCGACCACCCGGAGTGTTTTCGCAATATCGCATTGTTGTAGCAATTGCAACAAAACCATTCTTTTGTCTTTGGAACCTTAAAAAATCCAACACACTTAAAATGGTATCATTCTAGGCACCCATCACAACCAGTCTGGTCACCATCAATGTCTGTTTTACCTGTTTGCAGTCATCCCTTTTGTCGTCAGTTTAGAACCTTCAACATGTCAGCCCATCCTTCTGCAGCAAAATAAGGATGATTATGATTATTGTAGGCAATTGTTTATTGTAGTAGGCCCATAAGAGAAACAAAATTCAACTTAGACTTTATTCTACAAGAATTCAAGCATCCTGCAACAAAAACAGATAGACACCAACAAAATGAAACAAAACCAGTACAATAACATCAGGTAAATGTTTACAAGTGGACAACCATGGATTTTTTGTTGAGCAATGTGTTTTTCCGATTTTAGATTCATTGATGTTTATGTGATGATACAAGAAATTGTCCCAGCTAAAATACGACGAGTTGTTTAAATCTGCACAATTATACATTGATGGTAAGAAAAAATCATGAGGTTCGTTGGTTGTCTACTTGTGAAGAAATACCTAACATCAACACAAAGTAGAAAGATGTACATATACAGCCACTCCTCGACTTAGGACCTACTCGACTTACCACCACTCAGACATTCGATTCCTCAGTCGTATCAAAAAAATTTCAAATTACGTATTTTTGAGCCCCAACATACATTACAATGTACTAAATTAACTTGCAACTTAACTTTTATTTTATGTACACTTTATACACTGGAATATATATATTGTTTATTCACTGTCAGATGCCATATTTCCTCCTGGAACATCTGGAGAAACTGCCGAATTCATAGTCGGAGGAAATTAGTGTTGATTGACGTTGGAAGACCAAGGGCAGCGGAGACGGGGCGGATTCACTCTGAGGTTGATGCATTGGCTATTAACAATCTTGACGAATGAGTGGTGCGACTGCCGGATTCTGATGGTGGCGATTTTCTCTTAGGCACATTAGAGAATGGCTTAAAGAACTTGTGAATTTTAGGTTGCCTCAGTGCAGCATGTTGTCTCTGCACAACATTTGAATGAAATTCTGTAATGGCCAGGTAGTAATGTTTGTACATCAGCACAACCAACATCATCATTCCAGCTTTATTGCTGGCCTTTTGTCATCCTTGTCACCATCAAGCTGGAGGTCCTCAGACACATGAGACAGATCTTCAGTCTGGTGGTGATAACCAGGTTCCTCTGCCTCAGCCGCTAACCAGTCAACCAAATTATCCTCCTTCACCTTAGCCTCACCACCCCTTTGCAGTGTTGCCATGTAATCATTTGTCAAACCCGTGGAAATCTGTCACAATGTCGGCATCCTTCAGCAGTTTATTCCATGCATTAACAAGTATCAGTTTTCACTTCTTTCCAGCTTTCGGCCCAATTGAAAATACAGTTTTGATTGAATATTTCTTAGTATTGTATACAGTAAGTGTCCCCTTAGTATCTCTGTCCTCGTCAGGACTGTCCGCCAACACCACAAAACAATTGTCCATTTGTTTTGTGCGGTAGTGTTGCTTGCAGTTCTCAATTGCTCCCTGGTCTATGGGTTGGACAATGGATGTCGTGTTTGCCACCAAGCGACACCTTATTCTCCCATACCGGCTGCTGAGTTCTACAGAAGGATGGGCAGGTGTATTGTTCAGCAATAAGAGGGCCTTGACATTTACTGGGAGAATACCAAAGAGTTTTTTCCTGGTAATCTCTCACATTTGGCACAAAGTGTTTGTGAAACTAGAAGTGAAAAAGATCCATTATATACCAGGCACTCTTGTTGGTTCTGTAGAACACAGGCAAACTCGGGAGCCACGAATTACCCAAAAGTACCCAAATGTACCCAAAAGTATAGCAAATAAGGGTAAAATCTTAATGAATATCAGTTATACATACACAAAACATGTTTAATAATATTTTTAGTGTAATTTTGTAAAAATAATTTGTAAGATGAAATAATAAACAGCGAAAAACTTTCAGTATTGGCGAACGCTAAATTCCAAAGAGTTCGTGAACAAGGGAGATAACACAGATCCATCGTGATGCACTTCGCTAACCTAACCTAACGAAAAGTAAATCCTACGGCTATGTTAAATACCCCAAAGTAACAGAAACATCGGTAATTATATCTCCATTTTGGATAGGTGATTCTTTGGAATTTAGCGTTATTCGCTGTTTATTATTTCATTATTTTAACTACATTTCAATGAAAACATTATTAATCAGGTTTTATTGATGTAAAACATATATTCGTTAAGATTTTACCCTGATTTAATATACCTTTGGGTACTTTTGGGTAATTCATTGGACTGGGCAAACTCTGCACGATGCTCTTAAGGGCCCGTGGTTTCTGTGCCTATCTCACAATCATTGGTTTGAGGCGATGACTGCCGTCAGCGTTGCCACACGCTAGGGCAGATACACACTCCTTGCTGGTCTTGCGACCTGGCGTTAGTCCCTCACTCTTGGCTGCCTGTGTGTTTTCAGGGACTGACTTCCAGTACAGCCCTGTCTCATCGCCATTATAGAGCTGACACCGCAACAAACACTTATCTATCAAAGCCAGCAATTTCTTGCGAAACGGCTCCACACTCGCCACATCAGCACTCCTGCTCTCACCAACCACTATCTTGTTGCTAAGACAGTGATGGCTCCTTGACTTAGGGTCAGCCTCTGTTGGCCTTGAATCCTCAATATTCAAGTGAGCAGTGAACCTTTCTGCAACTGACTGGAGGTCTATGCCCCTGACTGGAACCCCTGCTGCCCGTTCTTGTTTATACCACTAAATTAGTTTCGTCTGGATCAAAATACCTAACTGCCTTCACACGTTTTCTCTTGGCTGTAGCTTCTCCGGGGTCATCTAGCTGCAAGGCATACAGTATTTTCTAGCTTGTCTTTGCCATTCTTATCATTGAATGTAGTGGTACTCAATTTAAAATCTCCGCATATCTTCCACATGGTTCCACCAGCTTTCATTCTGTCCAACACCTTTAGCTTATCTTGGAAGGTTAAGCTCTTATATTGCATCTTGGCATCCCAGTTTTCCTCCCAGCACCTCCTCTTAAGATATGTACCTACTGACTGTGTACTACTGACTGGAAAATGCTTGTGCAGTGGATTGTAAAGTTACCACGATAGCTGACCAGCACAAACTAACTGCCTGTACAGAGACTTGGGTTGACAATTTAGCTCCAGTACTTTAGCTAAAATAATCATGAAATTCTACATCCTATTTCAAAATTCTCTCTCATATTTCAAAATTTTAACAAATACTACAAACTCTATTATAAATATTTTGAAATGTCTCTTATTTCAAAATTTTGGTAAATATTAAAAAAAAATGCAAAATATAATTTGTAACAAAAAAAATTATGAATTATGAGGGATTTCGAAATGTGATAATGGCAACATAATCTTGAGTATGTAAGCTACAATTTGTTACAAAAATGATTGCACTCAATTATTTGAAGAGATAGTGAGTTCCATTTTCTGAAACGATTCCTGGTGTTTTTCTTCTTAGGTGCTTGTGAAGTTAAGGCCCGCATAGCCTCATACAGTATATAGAAATAAGTGAAATATAATTAAACTATAAAATAATAAAAAATAATGTGTGGGGATGTATTCTGATTGGGAGGCAGTGGGAAATGTTTCAGAAGTGTAGGGTTCGTGAATACTCCTCGACTGGAGGGAATCCTCGCACCATTATGACATCATGGAACATTTCATCACGTGGAGGGACATTTAAAGGACATGAGTATGCAATATCTTGGTAAATTCCCTATTTTTTAGGGTTGTTGGGAAATTTTTAGCTGTGTTTTGAAAAATCAATTTTGGCCGACCAGGGGGTGGGCTTTTAAAGGAAAAACTGGTGACCGTCTACAGGTTAACCTATATACAGTACTTTAATTATTATTTAATTTTTTTGCTGTATATTGGTATACAGTACAATACAGTGACCCCTCATTAAACGAACGCCTCGGTTAACGAACTGTCTTCCATAAGGATCTTCAATTCGGTTAACTAACAAAAATTCGGTTAACGAATTTCTTACGAACCGACCTCAACATGTTTTTGCTTGCACTGACCGGGCAACCAGCTTTAGTATCAGTCCGCCAATACATTAATCGGTTCTAGGGCTTAAATTCCTTACTATTTTAGTAAATATCAAGAAGTTTATACTATTCAATAATTTTAAAAGTTTAATATTCAATTTTTTAGTCATTTTAACAATTATTGAACATAATTGAAGGTAAAGTGACTAGTTTAATGCGCGGCATCCAGCCTCTTAACACAGCAAACAGGCGTTAGTCTCTCTGTTTTCACTGGAGGTAACATCTTGCTTGAGACTCTCTTCAACTAAATGCGCTTGTTTCCAAGCAAATTATTGGTCATTTTGAAATTTATTTTACATATTGACAATATATAATGCAGTGCAGTGTTGATTTAAAGAAAATAATCTTGAATTACACCAAGAGAACTAAAATTTTATGGGTGAAATGGTGCCATGGGGTGACTTCTCTTCCACCCCAATGCCTTCTCTTTTCCCTTCTCCTCCACCCCCATTCTAATTCCCATCATCATCATCATCCAGGAGCCTTCTATATACACACCTCAAAGTAAGTGAACTTTACTACCTTTTTTGTTGATTTTAGGCAATTTTCGGTGAGCTGGAACCAATTACCCAAAAACCCATTGAAACAATGGTTTGGTTAACAAATTTTTCGGTTAACGAGCAACCTTCTGGAACGAATTGTGCTTGTTAACCGAGGGACCACAGTACAGTATAGTGTACTTTGTTTTCACAGGTAACATCTTAAAGTGTTAGCTAAGATAACCCATCAGGATCAAACTTGGAAGCAAGAAAATCTGCAGATTGAACACTTTTAAATATGGTAAGGAGAACAGTTTATGGCTATCCCTATTATCTTGTATTTGTTTCACATAAGTCTGGATTTTGTTAGTACGGTACAGTACAGTAGGGTACTGTACACTAAACCCCCGCATTACGGAATGTATGTGTTCTTGAAATAGTGGTTGTACAATATTGTGAATTACCGTACCTGTACCTGTACAGTACTACCATGTTAAAAGTGAAGATCCGTTCATACAAAATGTTTTTTGCTCAACATAAGTAATAAAAACACACTTCTATATGGAGATACTATTTTGCAAAAAAAGAACCTTTTAAAAGATCAGAATCGCATTGAAATATTACACGACCGTTAGCAGAGGCGGGAAATATGACTGCGAACAGCTTCATATGTGTAGTATTTGTGCTCATTCATGTGTAGTACTTGTGCTCATTAATGTGTAGTACTTGTGCTCATTAATGTGCAGTACTTGTGCTCATTAATATGTAGTAATTGTGCTCATTAATGTGTAGTACTTGAGCTCATTAATGTGTAGTACTTGTGCTCATTAATGTGTAGGACTTGTGCTCATTAATGTGTAGTACTTGTGCTCATTAATGTGTAGTACTTGTGCTCATTAATGTGTGGTACTTGTGCTCATTAATGTGTGGGACTTGTGCTCATTAATGTGTAGTACTTGTGCTCATTAATATGTAGTAATTGTGCTCATTAATGTGTAGTACTTGTGCTCATTAATGTGTGGTACTTGTGCTCATTAATGTGTGGGACTTGTGCTCATTAATGTGTAGTACTTGTGCTCATTAATATGTAGTAATTGTGCTCATTAATGTGTAGTACTTGAGCTCATTAATGTGTAATACTTGAGCTCATTAATGTGTAGTACTTGTGCTCATTAATGTGTAGTACTTGAGCTCATTAATGTGTAGGACTTGTGCTCATTAATGTGTAGGACTTGTGCTCATTAATGTGTAGTGCTTGTGCTCATTAATGTGTAGTACTTTTGCTCATTCGTGTGTAGGACTTGTGCTCATTAATGTGTGGTACTTGTGCTCATTAATGTGTGGTACTTGTGCTCATTAATGTGTGGTACTTGTGCTCATTAATGTGTGGTACTTGTGCTCATTAATGTGTGGTACTTGTGCTCATTAATGTGTGGTACTTGTGCTCATTAATGTGTGGTACTTGTGCTCATTAATGTGTAGTGCTTGTGCTCATTAATGTGTAGTACTTGTGCTCATTAATGTGTAGTACTTGTGCTCATTAATGTGTAATGCTTGTGCTCATTAATGTGTAGTACTTGTGCTCATTAATGTGTAGTACTTGTGCTCATTAATGTGTAATGCTTGTGCTCATTCGTGTGTAGTACTTGTGCTCATTAATGTGTAATGCTTGTGCTCATTAATGTGTAGTACTTTTGCTCATTCGTGTGTAGTACTTTTGCTCATTAATGTGTAATGCTTGTGCTCATTAATGTGTAGTACTTTTGCTCATTCGTGTGTAGTACTTGTGCTCATTCATGTGTAGTACTTGTGCTCATTCGTGTGTAGTACTTGTGCTCATTCATGTGTAGTACTTGTGCTCATTCATGTGTAGTACTTGTGCTCATTCATGTGTAGTACTTGTGCTCATTCATGTGTAGTACTTGTGCTCATTCATGTGTAGTACTTGTGCTCATTCGTGTGTAGTACTTGTGCTCATTAATGTACAATGCCTGTAAGGGCAAAATCCCTTAACATAGTCCAGTGTAATGTTAGATCTTTCTCCATGCTGTATAAATCAATTTGCTCCTTTATTTCTAATTACAGAAAGAATTGTGACTACAGTATAGCATTTACTAATTGTTGCAATCCATCTTTATTGTGTGTGTTTTACAACATCCCAAACTAGACTTAATAAGCAACATCACTCCCAAACATTTGTCACATATGTTAGAAATATTTTAGGTTGGATTTCTGTTCAGATTGTGTTGGTCACGGGCACAGCACTGTTCTGTACCGTATTAGATATTTACCTTTAAAAATTTTGAAGATTCTGTTGTTTTATTTCAGATGCAGTTTATGTTATTATTCAGCCGGCAAGGCAAACTACGTCTACAAAAATGGTATGAAGCTCATCCAGATAAAGTAAAAAAGAAGATCACCCGTGAACTCATCTCCACAATACTTGCTAGAAAGCCAAAAATGTCTTCCTTTCTTGAGTGGAAGGACCTCAAAATTGTGTACAAGAGGTAAGTTATTGATTCAAAGTTTTCCAACTTTTTTTTTTTTTAGGAAATTTAAAGCTATAAGATATGCTACAATATGGGTACTGGTACAATATACTGTACTGTATGTTTTTATGGACTTTTCTCTAAACTTTTTTGTGTAGATTTATTATAAACTGTATCTGTATTGTGATGAATTTATATACAGTTGTACCCCACTTAACGCGGTCAATTGAACCCAGAGGGTCCCGCGTTAAGTGAAATCCGCGTTAAGTGAACAACAGAACATATGGGATTAATTCCAATAGAAACCGGCCCGACCCCCAAACTCCACTTTTTGAAGGCACATACCTATGTTGTAGTAAAAATAACATCTTAATTTTATGATGGTACATGCACACAATTAATACTTAAGAGAAATAGAGAAATACAGTCGCCAAGTTAATGTCCATTCAAATAATGGACTCAACTCCCTCCCCCTCTCACACTACACTGCCGGCTCTTCCCTCTCAGAGAAATTTTTGGGGGAAAACCACTACATTTTAATAAATAATACCTCAAACTAAAGTTAGGATAATACAATTGACATTGCTGGATTCCTTGTAAGACCAGGAATATTTTGAATATAAATGTCATATATTTTGCACAAAAGATAACATAGTTACTTAGAGAAATTTTTTTATCTAAAATTTGTATGTTTAATGCAAAATATATGATGTTTATATTCAAAATGATCACCAAATTATAAGAATTCCAGCAATGTAAATTATATTCTGACCGGGTAATTTGTATGAATTTTATGAGCTAAAACAAATATCTTCAGTTAATAAAAAAAAAAATAATCTTCACAACACTATCTGTCAATCAAAGTACCCCACCTTGCCCTCCCCCCCTCTTCCAACCGCGCGGTCAGTCCCAACCCACCCCCCCACCCCCCACTAATCCTCCCTTCCAGGGTTTTTAACATTTAGTATTAAATAATACCTCGGATTAAAGTTAGGATAATATAATTGACATTGCTGGATTCCTTGTAAGACCAGGAATATTTTGAATATAAATGTCATATATTTTGCACAAAAGATAACATAGTTAATTTGAGAAAAATTTTTATCTAAAATTTGTATGTCTAATGCAAAAATATGATGTTTATATTCAAAATGATCATCAAATTATAAGAATTCCAGCAATGTAAATTATATTCAGACCGGGTAATTTGTATGAATTTTATGAGCTAAAACAAATATCTTCAGTTAATAAAAAAAAAAATAATTCTTCACGGGGTAACAGATGGTCGGTCGGTCCCTCCCTCCCCCCCACCTCCCACCAACCATCCCAAGGAGATGTGTGGGATAACCACTAAATTTTAATAAATAATACCTCAAACTAAAGTTAGGATAATATAATTGACATTGCTGGATTCCTTGTAAGACCAGGAATATTTTGAATATAAATGTCATATATTTTGCACAAAAGAGAACATAGTTACTCTGAGAAAAATTTTTATCTATAAATTTGTATGTCTAATGCAAAATATATGATGTTTATATTCAAAATGATCACCAAATTATAAGAATTCCAGCAATGTAAATTATATTCTGGCCGGGTAATTTGTATGAATTTTATGAGCTAAAACAGGCAGTCAGGCAGGGTGGCGGGTGGGGCAAATCTAAAAATAGCGTCTCGAGCCGGACACTCACCGCGTATATGTGGAAAAAATCCGTGTTAAGTGAAAGTTCAGCTCTGGCGTATATGATAAAACGCGTTAAGTGAAACCGCGTTAGGCGGGGTAATACTGTACAGTATTTATTATTGAAATTTGTTTCAGAGTATTATTTGGGAAATTTCTCTAAATTTGGTGGGAATTTCTTGTAAATTGTTCTGTGGAGAATTTGTACTACTGTACTGTAAGTGTTTGGTGAAGAAATTATGGATATGATAAATTTCATTTTAAGAAATTATTTGGCTAAGCTGTTTGGGGAAATATAGCAAGTGGATGAGCATATTTCACTCATTGACAAGTGAATCTGCAGAAACACAAGGCTAATTATTCTCAGTCTTGACCTGGGGGTTTCTTCAGAATTTCAAATACAGACAAACACTGCAGCAAGCAGCCTTCATGTGAGCTTGTTTGTGCATTCACCTTTTTCCATTCATCCAGGTTCTCTAGGCACACCCAGTTATCTTTCTTGCAATGGTTTTGTCCAAATTTCAACTTTTTCCATTGCAAACACTTTTACCATAACTACAGTATTTACCAGTAATTGAAGGTGTTGTTGGAGGGCATATGGCATCCATTGATAATTTTTGCAGACAGGTAACATTTCTTCCCAGTTTATTTACCAAATATATATTATTTGGTAATCAGCTTGCACTACCTGTAATATCTTCCCTCAACAGTCATCCATATCATGCAGCACTGATACAACTGTCAGTGTATTGAACAGACACTGACTACAGGAGCTCTAGTGCATCTTGTTCTTATTTTTCAAATCGTTTTCATAACTCGCTCTCATGTATACATTTTTCACTCGATAATTTTTATTAGTAATATTTGGCAATATTCCCTGTGCAGTATGTTATAAATAGAGCTAAAACTTAACAAGGTTTATATATTTTTACACACGTATGCCTCTCAAATTCCCTGTATGCAGCAGACATGTTATTAATACAGTATTCAAATATTTCACCCAGGTATGCATCACTGTACTTTTGCTGTGCCATTGAGCAACAAGATAATGAGTTGTTGACCCTAGAGGTGATCCACCGATATGTTGAACTGCTCGACAAGTATTTTGGAAGTGTGAGTACAGTACATTATATTTTTGGAATTACAGTACTACTGTAGTGTGTGTGTGTGCGTGCTTTCTGATTGACTGATAGTATTCATTGTAGTACAGTATATAATGTCTGTAACCTTACCCTAGTAACATACTGTATATAACT